TTTATGTCAGTTCCTATTTGACTGGACAAATCCTATTTTACTGGAAATTGTCACAGCCTTTTTTTCCAATAGGTAATAAATTACTTGTAAGAATTTCATTGTAGTACAAAGAGAAAGCTGTATTAGGCACTTTTAAGACTTTCATTTTAGTCCAAAGAGAAAGCTATATTAGGAATGGTGGATCTTCCAAAAAAAAAAAAAAAGTGATTTTGCACAGCTGGATCTTCTATCTGGGATATTAAAACTAGCAAAAACTATGTCTATTTCTGAAAACAAAAAATAGCCATCTTCTCATTTGACAGTCTTTGAGACTTGTTTTGATCCAAAGCTTTGTTATTTTTATTTTTTTTTCTGAAAGAAAACACAAATCTAATGACATCCACAACAGCGTTCAATGGACAGATTTGTGTGGCAGAGAATGTACGAAAATGGGTTTCATCCATCCACTTGTTCATCCAAAACCCTTTTGCCTGTAGAGTAAGAAGTTTTAATATGAAGTTTTAATAAAAAGTTTGAGACTCCTTGAACCTGTCGCTCAGGCAAAACCTTTCTAATGCTTGCTGGAACCATCCAGACAAAATTGAAAGAAGGCTGTGCTAAAAGTATATGTAAAGCGTTCACTGCCTCTGCTTTGCTTGCACTTTAACAATAGTCAGGTCCCTTGAGGTCAGGCGGGCTTCTTTGATGTTGGATTTGCTTCTTCAGTTTCAACTTTTCAAAAAACTATGCAGCAGCACATTTGACCTGTGTGAATATCTGTGTGAGTCTGGTACTTTAAACACAGGAAGACGAGCAAGAAGAGAAACGTTCTCGAAATCTTGCCGTTGCTAACCTTACTCCAAATGGGTGAGACAGGGAAGACAAAAAAGTACAGCCTCCATGCTGTACAAAAGACACTGCTACTCATCTTTGCTAAATTTGCCTCTCATTTCTTATCGTCGCAGCTACTTGCTCTCAGCACAGTGTTGGTGGATGCCAGATGCAGCATGGCACAGTCATAACGAGAAATAATCTACCAGGGGAAAATTATTCAAAATCAGTTTGCAAATGAGCTGGCAAAGGTGCCAGGAGAGGGTGACTTGGAGGTTGGGGATTCACAGGAAAAGGCCAATTCTTTTTTGCTTCAAGTGCCAAAGTCCTGGGGGTGTTGAAGGGACGTTCCCAGTAGTAACACAGAGATTTCACTCTCCCTTTACTTGCTCTCCCAGCGACTGCGTGCTCCCTCCGTCCCTAATACCCTGGAGCTCCCACTCCCAAAACACTTTTGCACAGTTCTTGCCCCCTGTAAGGAATGAGAATTTATTCACCCACTCGCACGCAGCTGGAACTTCACCCCAAGGAATAGCCCAGTGCAGCGCTTTTCCTGCCACCTTTTTGTCCTCTTCCCCTCCATAAACTAGTCCGTACCTGTGGGTACCCAAAGGGTTTATATTTGACTAATCAAATCTCTTACAACCACAGGAGTCAGAACCTTGAACTGTTTAATAAGATTAAGAAATAATAATTGGCTAATAGACTAATATAGCATAAAATAAACCCATTAACTGCTGGCTTACAAAATAGCCTGGTGTCTGTGTATGCTGAGGCAGAACACAGCTGTCAGAGGATTACTTTCCTTCATCTACAGAAAGAGTAATTAGGACCAGCCCCAACCCGCATGATATACTGACCTCTGTCCCTGCCCAGCATTGTTTCTATGTGCTAAACTGACACTTGTAATTGTCTCCTGATAATATTGCAGGCAACACGCTTCAAACTACCTAGGACAGAGGCTGTTCTTGTTGTTGTCAAAGGACACACAAAACACATCACATGAGGAACATTGAAGAGAAATCTAATTTTGGAACCAATGTTGTGGAAAGGTTTCACACATCCACGCAGGTAGACATGATGGACGCACATCCTTTCTCTCCTTTAATCAAACATTCCTTGTAAGATCTTCAAGAAAATACAGGTGACACAATCACTCCGGATTGCTTGATGATAATATTACATTTTCATAAAAATACAATCCCTCTCTTAAACATGCTTACTGCTTTAGACAGTGTTTCCTTGAGGAGGTGGTCTGGCTTAGGTTTATTTAAAACCTTCCAGGACAGAGGAATGACACAAGCTGATCATGGAGTCCGTTCTAGGTCCAGCCTGGTCTCCTCAGCATTTTTAGCAGAGATCCCCCTTCTTCCCAGGCACCAAGGGTAGACCAAGACCCAACTTGTCCATCAGCACCCTGAAGGAAGGGCTGGATCTTGCTGGGCGCTGCACTCTCCCAAATGCTGTTGGTTCAGTGAGTCAGGAATAGCTGTGAAGATATTATTGGGTTGATCTTAAAATGGACCAAGTTTTCTGCTTCTAGGGGGAAGCTGAATTAATCGCTAAATCCCAGAGCATCTGGGGAGCCTATGGGAGGCTGGCAGAGCAGACAAGGTCATACAGCATCCAGCTGACCCTAGCTTAGAGTTCACAAGCAGAAAAAATGACCCCTGGCTCATCAGTACTGAACACGACTATCCTGCTGCATACCTCTCTCCCACTAATAACGCCGTTCTTACTTTTTAACCTCCATGTGGAATCAAGTTTATTTTTGGAAGCTTATTTTACAGTTCAAGGTGTTTTTAGCAATACTATTTTTAGTTACAATTTAGAGATGATATTTTCTTTCATTCTGATTAATCTGTTAAATAAATATGCAAATATATCAAGTACTCTATATAAAAAATACATACACACAACAAACAACCCCTCAAATAATAAAACCGAGATTAATAAAAATATGTACTATATTATACATATGAAATAGCCATCTAGTTTTGAAACTATAATGCAGCTTAATTACACATGACTCACAAGACATAATCTAAAAAGAATCAGCATATATAAAATAATGGCATTGCCTCTGTAAAGAGAACTTTAGCATCTCCCTATTTAAAAATATAAAAAGAAGCCAACCAGTGTTGTCCGTGCTCTTACAGCTACGGACCATTAGATAGATTGGGAAGGAGTTTGTGGATTTCTCCATTAAACATCTGAATAGGGAAATGAGCATGCACAGCCACCTTCTTTTTTTTTAAAGAAAAATTTAGCCTTCAAGACAATGAAATATCTCCTTTTGATTGAGACCTATATTCAATGAGGATTTAAAGAGGGGAATAATTCTTAGTCTGGATCTCCATACTTAGTGAAATGAGTACATAACACCAGTTTAAACACAGCCTTCATCAGATAATTTTGATTTATAATGACAAATAGAAAAGCTTGCTTAAAAACATTACAGGAATTAAACAAAAATCAATGCACAGAACCAACAGACTTCCCACTATAGTTCAGTATTAAAATACATGAAAGGACTGAGAAGTTTGATAGTGGACCACAAGTACTGGCAGCATAAATCACCTTGACCCCATTAGCTTCATCTTGTTTGAATGCTTTTGGACCACTACCTGTGTGACTGTTCATAGAGGAAACATGCTGACCTACATAAAGTCAGAAAACATCCTATGTGTACTTTAAAAATCACACCTTGTCTTGGGACCTTTTGCCCAGGCATAAATTGCCCCTGAGGAGATACCAGATACCCCTGCAGATACCAGGGCACCGAGCAACCCAATGAAACACATAGGAAACTGCTGGAGGTTGTGACTGAGAATCATAATCAACAGTCTTGTGCTTTATGTTCCAGTAAAGACCAGGGCTAGCTAATGTGAGTATTCAGCCAGCTGAATACTCATCCTCCAAATTGCTTCAGATGAAGAACATAAAACAACATGTGTTAGCAGAACAGTTTCAAAGACAGGCACTGTGGTCACTGAATAGGTACACCTGAATCACCCTACTACAGGACCTTCCCCATCCCACAACTGACACAGACCACTAGTTGCAATTACCTTACATTGTTTTTACTTACTTTTTTTTGAGGCAGCCCATTAGAAGTTATCATTCTCCCTCCATTCCAAGACACTTTCTTAAAAATGGCACAGACCACCGGTAGTAAATAATTTTCTTCCTGACAACTCATATCAATATAATGCACAGCATCATAGCTCAATACAAATACGTTACATAACAGACACATAAAGACAAAACAAAAGCATATAACAATGCAGCTGCAGCTACTTTAATATTTTACATGCCTGGGAGAGTTTCCTTTCATTTTCTTTGATATTTTCTGCAGAATTTGAACTTCTGGTACCAATAAGCAAGTAATGTTCCTTTTGGTATTTTTAAAAAGCAGAGAGGGAAAAGTGGATGAAATAGAATTCAGAGGAAATGAGCGAGATCATAGAAGGGCAACTTTTAAAACATCAGCAAACTGGTGTAACATGATAGTTACAGAGGAAACAAATTTACTAGGCTCTGCAACTCCTAAGTAAAATGGAGCAGAAGCAGTCAATTGCTTGATTCATGCAAGTGTGATAGAGCTGGGATCATTCTGTTTTCTTCATTATCCTAACTAACAGACTCGTTAAAAACAGGCAGATAGTGTGACCAATGAAGGAGAGCAATGAACACCTCAAAAACTCAAGGATAACTGTACAGATTATTAGGATAATAAAGTATTGAAGTTTATTATGTATCAGCTCATGTTTTCATCTCTTTATTCCCCCCGCCAAGAAGACTTGCTGTATGCCCATAGACATTTAAGAACAGAGATAAATTTTTTTTTTTTTCTTCTGGGTTTCCCTCATTGCAGACCAAGTCATAAATCATTATAAAATGTCACTTTTTGTTTATACTGTCAGACTCTGAATGCGCCTACTGCTCTTCCTGGCTGGAAGGCATTTCTGAAGGATTCTGACGTTTTAGACATTGTCTAGGAGGCCTTTTTGGTTTAAACTTGATTTTTGCTCTTGACATTTGTTCCTCACTTACTCTTGTACCAGGGCAAGTTTAGTACTTTAAATGCCTGTAAGCTGGAGTGACTGGATACTTCTGCAGCTCCGCACCGCGAAGACGCTCCATCTGGGGAACAATGACGTAAACTTGTATCCCTCCTAACACCCAGGACACGGTGAGTGTCCTCTGTGTAGGAACCGGGAACTGAAAACATTATGCAACTCTTAGGGGCTTATTTCAGAAAGAAAATGTCAATTTTGTAACTCAGACATAATTTTGAAGTGATGAAAATTGAGTAAGACTTATGCTTAATTATGTTCAAAAGACATCAGTAGCACAGTGCATCTGTGAATTCCTGTCCAAGTTCCATGTGATTTTGATTTCCCCAGCTCTGATCTACTTGGCAATTTGGTACCGTTACACTCCACTCTTCATGTCAAGCTCCTGATGATTTTGTGTTTCATTAACGGTCAGGAATTCGTCACATGCTCCTGTTCGGTCATTTGACTGTTCTTTATGAACCAAGTGCACCATTTCTTGTGATTTGCTGGCATCTCCGTTTAACCCACTTGTCTTCCTGTCTTCCACTGCCCCTTTGCCATTGTTAATGACTAGCTTTTTCTTCTGCCCACACCTAGAAAGAAACAAAAAGAAAATAAGTACTATAAATGAAGACTAACAGAAAAAAGAAAAAGAATAAAAGTCAGTATTTAGGAAAAGGTGCTTGGAAATGAAACTTGTGTCTGCCAGTGCAGACTCACGAAATGCAAAGTGTAAAGTTTCTCCATATTGCATATTTTATTTTTTAAAGCATCCCCCATTATATGCATAAAGTTTGGCAGGAGCTCACTTACTCAATTTGTATCTATCATTACTACAGGTAGGAATAACATCCATTACTGAAAGCTAGAAAAGATTTTCTAACATTTGGATAGATCCACACTTATGAACTTTGTACATACCCCACTCTAAGGGCAGGGTCATTCTAAATCCAGACTTGGGACCACACCTTTGAAAATGCTCAAGTTCTTGAGGTAGCAGAAAATTTGGATCAAGCTCTCACCTCATTATACAAGGTAACTTTTTCCTTCTTTGTATTAGCATGTCGGGCCTAGAAGCCCACCAACAGCAAGGAAATACAGAGAACTACTCTTGCTACTATCAACAGCATTGTTCCTTATGATATTAAGGTAGGAAATAGCTACTGTGCTTTTAAAGTTACACTCACTGCAGTGCTGCCCAATAAACTCTGTACATAGCTCTGAATGCACACACACATGCGCACACACACACACACACACACACACTCTTTTTAAAAGTCACCAGTCCAAAACTGATGCATGCTGGTCAACATGCGCTGGGTATTCTTCAGGGTAGTAAGAAAGTACTAGTTACAGAGCTGTCAGATTTGCCCCTGACTGTTAAGATGGTTCTCTGGCTACACAGTGCTGAACATCCTACTTGTGCTCAAACAGCCTTGTGTAAATCAAATATACAAAGCACAGCTCTCTTAAAGGGGTCAATATCTCTGTGAAGTTTTGCTTTAAAGTGCTTTCTTCTTCAATGAAGCATATTTTGCCTGAATGACGAACTTAGCAGTTCAATTATACTCTTATCCTTCTGAAATATTACTATTTCATGCTTACTGACCGATAGATGAGGGTTATTTTATCTGAAGTAGCTCAGTTCACTGGGCCAATGTTACACACATCCTTGGGAATGATTCCTGCTCTTCAGCCATGAAATGCCAAAGGAGGCCATCGAGGAGCTGTGGAGCTCCACAGCCTCTCTCGAGAGCAGCTCAGAGTGTCTTTCCTGACGTGATGGTCAGGCTGGGCAGCATCTTCTGTTGGACCCTGCAAGGAGATCCTAACACGTTTTACAACAGGCACCGGACAGTCTTTGCCACAACAGGAATAACTAACTAACTAACTAACTAGGACCATGTTGAACCTTGGCAGTTTTGGTTTCTGGCTAAAATAACTTATCACAACACCAATAAAAAAAAAAATAAAAAAAGGAAATACTATAGCCAAACAACTTTCTATTTACTGAGAAAGTCCAATTGCTTGCTTGAAATGTTTGAAATCTCTGCTATACTGACCTCCTAACTAGAAAGGCCAAATCTATTCATTTCTGGATCAGGAAGTTAACTACCTTGAGACTAAGGCCTACACTTCATTAGGCTCTTTCAGACAATCCAAATGAGTCTGAAACTGAAGATGACGCAGTTAGCATTCATTCAAAAAATGGTGTCACTGACAGCATTACACAAATAAAACCAGATTTTTCTCACTTTTTAAATAAATCAAGGCTTAAAATGTTCTCAGCTTACTGCAGAGCTAACACTGAAATACTCAATCCTCCTTTCTCAGCTATCAAGTTCTATCACAGCACTGCTGCAGTCTTAGTTTCAGATTAGTTGGCATTCCCGTATGGCATTCCCCAGGATGTTGACTGCAGAGCAACCACCTCTCTATGAATTTTCAGTGTATTAGCTCTCATCAGAATAGATGACGAAAGGACTCTTGAATTCTTCACGTTATCATTTGGATCCTGCTAAAGTGAAAGAAAAAAGTCCACTTGTTTCAAGCACACCAGAGTTCAAAAAGTTTTCCTCACAGTGATTAACACCTATTACTGGGGTCTAATCCATGCATTCATACACATACGTGCACCCACACGCACTCCCTTTGCGACTCACTCCCAGCTGCATGGAAGCTCTAAGTAAAAGATATGTTTTCCGTTAACGGTATCTAGGGCAAAATTTAAAGCTCTGAGGTGGTTTCATTTCTTGTCATATGCAATCTATAATTAGCCATAGTGGCCCTGTTTGTCTGTTCCTATGGTGACTCTCGGTTAAGAGGGAAGAAACTATGGCAGTCTCCACTTTTAAATGCATAACAGAGTAACGTATAAAATAATAAGCCATGCCATTCAGGCTGTGTAACTCCAGAATCACTTCACAGTAAGCAAGTTGTAGAGTTTTCTGTCTCACCATATGCTTGCTAGCTTTCTTATTTCAACAGGTCTCTTCTAATACTGTCAGAGAAGCACTGGTATTGTGGATACAGTCACAGGGCAAATATCCCAGGTGGCATCTCACTGCTGACTTCAGCAAAGCTGTATCAGTTTACTCTGACAATTCAGCATTTGGCTTGCACAGTTTTGTCTCATAGCAGTCTCCCACATTACGGGCAGGGACTGCCTGGGCTGCTCCCTCACAAGGGTGGCAGGGCTCTATTCTAGCACCCAAGCCATGCTTTGGAGGACCGTGACACTATTTAACAGGAGCATTAACACGTGCTTTCCTGCAACCAGCAGACTAGGAATAAATTTGCCCACTGCTTCCTGAATAAAAATCTCCATGTGAAGGTGAAGTAAATAAAGCTACTGTGAGCTCTGATAGTAATGTTAGAACATATCCCTGTGACTGCCAGCTGTGATACGGCCTTTTGTTCGGAAGGAACAAATTTTAATCCTGTGACAGCAATTGTCTAATACAGCCCTTCACACTGTACACAGACAACATGGTGATACCGGCTGATCCCGCTACTGTCTATGTCCACCTCACATAGTTTTCACGCTCAGTGGACAGGATTTTCATATGAATGAGTCACAGTCAGAGGATCATTAATTCTCTATGATCTATACACAGCTAGTTTCCATCTACAAGTAAAGACCAAATGGTCTATGCAGCTACTGACTTCACGTGGTTCCATGTCAGTGTGAAGGCTGATGTGTGACCTGTGCAGGACGCAGTGACCTGGGCCCTCGCACCCCAACCCACAGAACTTCATAGAGGAAGCTCATCCTTGTGTTACACTATTCTGCTCTTCCACAAAATGTTGAAGCCTCTCAATGAAGAAAATAGCAAGGCAGTGTGTTTCAACAAAATAAATGGGCCACCTTACCTTCTCCGACTGTTCACAGCAACGCACACTGCAAGAATCAACGCGAGTGCCACCAGAGCGGCAACTACGATCAGCCATTCTGTGGGGAGAGGTGAGCGTGTTAACGTGTCTTGTGGAGTTTCGTCATTTCACAGAGCTGAAGGAACACAGGCTCTTTCACAGTCTTTAAACTGTCAAGACTTTTTTCCTAGTTTGCATGAATGTTTGTTTGCATGACAAAGCGCTTCTGTAGAAATCGAATACATTTTCATCGCAGGCCAACTCAGATGAAATACCCCGTCACTGGTAGCACCTATAAGCACTGTACTTTGGTGGGCATAGGTGAAGAGGAGTTGTGTCACACATTTACTCCAAGAGCAAAAGAAAAGGCTTAGCAATGAGAAATCTGCAATCCCAGGCATAAAAGCAGGATGACTTTCAGGTAGAGTGAAACGTTCATTTTTTCATTTAAAATCTTACTTTAAGGGGTATTTTTAAAAAAGGATCTGCAGAACTGGAAAGGACCCTAAGAGGTCATATAAGCTCCATTTCACTCCAGTGAAATGGTCAGTAAGCAGACGGCTGAGGAATATTCCATTTGCTCTTAACATTTTTCGTAAAGGAGATTTCACAACGTTCCCAGTAGCCTGTTTATGCTGTACTACCATTATAGCTCTTAAGCTAACTCCTTTATTTTGTTTGTTTGAAACAAGTTTCCCTTGTTTAACAAGTCTCCTACATTTCATTTGAAACTAATTACTTCTTCCAATTAGTTAATTATTATTACCCCATGGTGAAAAAACTGATAAGCGTTCTTTCTGTAGCATACTCTTCTCATGTGTCCCTTCAGTTTTGTCTGAAAATGATGAATTCTTCAAAAGGTGCTTCAAAAGTCACCTTTCCAAAATTTTCTTTGTGCTATTCTCAGTTTTTTCTTCTATGTGATTAATACAATGACTTGAACTTAACACAGAGCTTCAGCTCTGGACTTGTTAGGCCTCAGTAGAGTGGGATAATTACTTTCTCGTTTTAAAAAATTACTTTACTGTTAATACATCCCAGAACATATTTTCATTCTTTTGCAATTGTGTCATGGTGTTGGCTTCTTTCTATTCCTCTTTAGTCTGCAAGCCTTATTCTGCAATACTCGTCTCGGCTACTATTTTCACCAAACATTCTCACGGATATACTCTGCACATATCTTTACTGAATTTTATATATCTTTGCTGAATTTTGGCTATTTTCATATCAATTTATAAAGGTTATTTGGATCTTAATCCCATTCTTCAAATGCATGATTTCTCTCGTCTTGATATTGCTGGGAAATTATATGGGATACAATATGCTCCATTTTTCAGACTACTAGTGAAAATATTGAATATTATCTGATTCAGAACAAAGCCTGAACAACTGTACTTAACCTACATTTTAATCTCCTACTGCAGTTCATATTAATACAATTCTGTGCTTGAATTGTTAAAACAGATGGCTTCAAAAACCTACCTGGCACCAGGGCCGACCTTCTTTGTGAAACTATTTTTGTTGTTGTGGTCTCTCCAGGGAAAGTAGTGGATTCATAATGTCCCTTGTGTGGTCCTTGATCACCATGTGTACTGGAGGTAGATCCTAAGGAACAAAACTATCTATTAGGCCAAATATGCTTAGTGACTATTTAACATTGAGGTACAAAGAACATGACTTTCACAATCAAAAACCACATTCTGGAATGTTCATGCTGAGGTCATTAAAAAGTATTTATACTGAAAACTACTACATAGACTACAATCATCATACTCATCTGAACTATGGCTAGTTTTAGTATTTTGAATAACAAAACTCATGGTTTTCCCCTCTTGTCTCTCTCACACGTTTCAGTTTTGATTATGCTATACTTCCACGAATGAAAATTTAATTATAATTGCCCAGAAATTTTCTGGAGAAAATGTAAAGATATGTGAACGTTGGCAACTTTTTGAAGCGGTTTGTGTGATACAAGTCAAACATCTTGTCTGTTCCATGGGGAAAAGTGAGTGAAAACAGAAGAGAGAGAGAGAGGAGAGAGAGAGGAGAGAGAGAGAGGAGAGAGAGAGAGAGAGGGAGGGAGAGGGAGAGAGAGAGGGACACAGAGAGAGAGGGGGTGGGAGAGAGAGAGAGAGAGAGAGAGAGAGAGAGAGACAGAAGAACTTTACTTTTTATTTAAACCTAAAATGACCAATATGGAGAAATTTTGAAACTCTTAATTTTATAGCTACACAGGATAAAACTGAATTTCTAAAACCTTAATAAAGTAAAAGGCTAGTTCTCTGAATGGTTTTTAATTTGATAGCTATGTATAGAGTGGGACTTCAAAAATTCAAAATATCTTTCCTAATAGAAAAAATGCTCTCTGTAAACTTAGAGGCGGGTCCCCTTGTCCCTTTTAATGTGGTGTAATTTGGTTCTAAGATGGTATTAGATCTTCAATCACAATGCATATTTCCAGTCTCAAGTATTTGCTACACTGGCCATACCGCTTGAACTTTTATGCGGTTACATTTCTGGCCCATGCTGCTGCCATAAGGGTATCCCAAGTCTAAAATTATCAGCAAACTATAGATACGGTGATTTCATCTGGGACTACTACTTCATTGTCACCATGAAAAAGATATTACAGATCTCCACCTCTCTGAATTCTTCCAGACTCTAACAGAGCAAATGACGCATTTACTCTAATCAGCTGTAAGGTTCTTTTTCTAACACACGTTGCAACTCATTTCTAGCCAGCATTTCTGATCTAATTTCCTAATAGCAGCTGGCAAATACAAAACTGAGAAGCACATTTTTTACCCTCTGTTCATCTTAACCAGCAAGTAGTTCATGAATCTTCCAGATGTTTTCATTATTTTTATTACAAAGAAACTTACTGACTGTTGAGCTGGTTTGTCCTATCTCACCACAAAGGACAGAGCACTAATTCAGCAACTGAGGTTCCTGATCTAGCCTCCAAGACAGCTGACCAAGAGGAACATACTCACTTGTCTACCCCACATCTCAGCAGATTTTTTTTAAGGTGATTTGTATCATCCTTGAGAAATGCCAGAGCTTTTCCACCACAAAGCCCCTTAGAAAGGCACGCAGACATTTATTAAAATTCATGCACTTAGAGAACTGTTACATTTGCCCTTCCCCTCTCTTGAGCACTGAGAAGAAGCAGCAGGATTCAGTCGTGTCCCCTGCGGTTCTGGCTCTGGGGATGTGCTTGCAAGTGGCAGGGAGGGATCCTCAGAAATTCTACATTTCATTTTGATGACATAATAGATTCTGGTTTTTTTGACAGTTATTTTTGGGGTTCCTTCAGCGGACCGATTTGTTATTGCATGGACACCTGGACAACAGATGAGTCATTAGTGTGATGTCAGACCACAGCTTAAACATTGCTGTAGAGAAAAAGCAAGTGAAAGAAAGTAGTATAGTACATCAAGCCATTCATTTGTTCAGAGAAAGCTTTTAACTATAGTCTGCCAATACATTAATGAATCTTGTCCATTCCATTGGAATATGGGGCAATGTTACAAACGAATGAACTCTTCAATAAATAAACTTTTTTATGATGATGGTAGTGTCCTAGTAATTCCTTGGCATTGTGTTTTAAAAAGCATCAAGAGAAGATAAATTAAAAAAGGAAGATTTGGGGCAATATGGCCTTATGAACCTTTGCCAGGGCACTGACAACACAAAGATTTGACAGAGACATTCATCTTGAAAATGATCTTCAAACCAGTTCTTACAGACTTTATGTGCTCAAAACAGAAAGGTAGCAAAAATTTTTTCATAGTGCGTAATGTAATGTCTGCACATAAAATTCAGGATGCAGCTTGCATTAATTAAGCGAATAGGGCAGCAAAAGTCAAGAAATGAGTTTGTTATAGTAGGAAACCATTATTAAAAACACATTTATCCTTCCAGTAAAATTCTACCAAATACATATTTTGCATTTATATTGCTGTGCCTATGTCAAAATACTATAACTCAGGCAATTTTGATTGGATTGGCTCTACTGGATTTGTATAAAATTCTGAAAGAAAATGTAGGCCAAATTCTACCTGACAATGTATGAATGAACAGTAATTAATTAATTAATTAACTACTAACAGAATTATCTTGAAAGTGTTTGCTGTATAATACTATAAAAACATAGGCACATGATCTTACTTATGTGCAAAGAATGTCCTCAGAGCACTGGCCAAAATCTACCATTGGATGGTTCCACTAGCACTCCAAGGAAGTGCATGAAAATAGTATTTGGATTAGTGTACATGAGAAGTAGCATTTGGAAAAAAACTTACTGTTAGGATGAGTATTTGTATGGAAACTGCATTTGGGAATAAGAAAAAGTCCCTTCATTTCCCATACTATTAGCATGTGAGCACACACACAAAAAATGAAAGGCTATATTTGGTGCAATAAATAAACACTGTTACTGTTAACTGCATTATCTCTATCAGAAGAACAACCCTTTAAAAAGAAAAGGTTATTCACAAATGAAATGTTAGTTACATCTCAGTAACACAGCTATGATTAATCACTGGCAAGATATTAACAGCAAATACACCTAGAAACAAAGGTATAAATGAGAATTACCTTTCTCTTGATACATATTCAACTAATGTAGAGGGAATACAGATGGGGGAAAAAGTGACAGACAGTTAAGTGTTATCTAGTCATAGCTATCATTTGTGTCCAGCAAAAAAGAATGACAAAATGCTATCCCGTATGTATGGGTATGAGGAGAAAGTTTACACTTGTTCACTTTCATACTTGTGTTACCACATACAGATAACAGATTGTAAGAAAACGTTATTTGCAAAACACTACTTTAAGCCTTTTAGCAAATGTCCTCTGCTTTGCACAGGAAGAGGTTCCCTTTAATGACATCTTATAAGCAGATTAAAAACAACAATAAAACCAAAAAGGAAATCATAATATGACAATAATTCACAGTGATGGCTAGTACACGTTATTGAATGATCACCATTGTCCAAAATAATGACTGAGGGATAAATGAAAATGCTTTTAATTTGTAATTCTTACTAGTAGGAAGAGGGGTCTGTAATTGGTTAAGACGATCTTCAATGTCTGGAAAAACTCCGGGTATCCAATTGACATGGGAACCATCTGTGCTGTTTGCTTGCTCATTTTCACTTCCAAGTGGAGTGCCAGGTGCCAGTGGCTCCTTGGTTGCTTTCTCTCGGTTAACGTCATCCACGGACTGTGTGACTGCCATGACGATGGCATGATCAGCTTTAAAAGTGAGCGGTCACAAAACCACCACCCACATTATCTCCCTCTTTCCTGTACCACAGCAAGCCAGAAAGCACGTCCACCTTCCTCATTCAAAGCACAAAAAGAGAGAAGATGTGAAGGCCTCCCCTTCTTCTTCCACACTGCCACTGGCTTCTGAGACCCTCAAGCACCATGTTGGAGGGAGACGCTGGCAACGTATACAGATCCCAGTGACAGATGGAGAGGGAAGACCTTCGGAAGAAGAGACCACAGCAGCAACAACCTGACCCTGTAATTCAGGCATGAGTGGCCATACTGCAGCCCTATCAGTGGCCAGTCTTGCCTGTCAATCCACCGGTGAGGAGGAGTCGGGAATTGAAGGCAGAATTTATGGGAGACGATTCTTCTACGATTGCCCTGCCCTCACCAGTGGGACAGCACTCCCTGGTGATGGTGCTGCTGCTGAGTCACAGGAGCAAGCCACCTGATTAATCCACCAGAGCACCTCCACCACACCAATCGTCGTGCCAAAGCATATCAAGCCTGGTCCCACTGATGCACAAGAAAAGAAGATGGGGCTAGGGATTCAGAATCACCAAAGTGTGTGTCTTGCAGCACAGTCAGGAGGCCACCCAGAAACATGCATCAGCAAAGGACAGAAACCACAAAGTGTACCAGCAAGAAGTCCCTTATGCCTTGCCCAGAAGGTAAATCTACCAATAGCACAGATCCCACCACAGATTTTTGCACTGCAAGTCCACACTGAGAATATAGAACCTCACGATGAGAAAGATGGGGAAAGGACTCGATTTCAGAAGAAATAATGTCTCATTTCACACCAGGCATGAGAAATGAGCATGGTCCATTATTCTTACTGGTACCCGTCACAGGAGAGTCATCACCAGCTTTGTTCATACGAGTTGTGGTTCGAGTCAGAGTCTTATCCCCATGGGCGTCTGTGGGATGCGGTGTGCCTTCAACGCCCTGTTCTGGTTCATTATCTGAAGGCAGAGGTGGCTGCGTAGGATCTTCATGGTGGGCAACATCAGGAGAGGCAACAGCTGTTACCATGATG